ATTCATAAGCCTCAAAGACAGAAAGGCTAGATTGGACTTAACAAAAAAAAAAAAAAAAAACATCCAAAAGAGCCAACACAGTTCTGGAAAAACATTCTTTGGAAAGACAAAATGATGATCAACCTCTATGAGAATGATGGCAAGAAAGAAGTATGGAGAAGGTGGGGAATAGCTCATTATCCAAAGTGTACCACATCACTTATAAACCACAAATAAACTGCAACTGAAAGCTGCTGCAGTAAAGCCTGGCAGAGCATTAAAAAGGAGGAAACCCAGCATCTGGTGATGTCCATGAGTTCAGGACTTCATGCTGTCATTGTCAACAAAGGATGTTCAAGCAAGTATTAGTAATGAGCATTTTAATTTCAATTATTTAATTTATCTGATTACTTTTGAGCCCATTAAATGAAGGGATTGTGTTAATAATCACTTTAGTTCCTTACACTTTTATCCAGTCTTTTTGTTCAGCCCACTGAGCTGTAAGTCTACATTTCAACTGCATCTGAGTTAGTTTTAATTTAATATTCATTGTCGTAGTGTGTAGAGCCACAATTAGAAAAAAGTTATGTCCAAATATTTATGGAACTAACTGTACACATTTACACCCTAAGCTGATCTCTTGATTTGAAACATTGGCCTTGCTTGCAGCACTGTAACAGTATATGTGTAACAGAAAGAAATTATATTGTTTGCTTTCACTCATTAACTATGAGTGACAGTAAACATAAAAATTAGTCCACTGGAAAAGCCATCCTAGTGACTGCATTACCCAGCTAGCTTGTTTGTACTTAAGGGTATTTCAAATAAGCCATAGCTTCTTAGCCTACAACACCCACTTACTCAGTCCAGCAGTTGTGTAAGTGGAACTGCAAAAACTTCCCTTTCTCAATTCCAAGTGGGTCCAGAGACAGTCCTAAACAACTGAGAGACACAATCACAATGCCTGTCCTGTCTGAGCATGCCTGAAGCACCTCACACAGGATATAGGAGGCAGGCTAGGTATGCAGGCAGATTACAGTACATCCTTTCAGGATGGAGGAACATCAGACCTACCCAGAGCCTGAGCCAGGCTGCTTACCCAATCTCCCCTTCCAGAGGCAGTGTTGTGAATCAGAACTTGCCCCTGTCCTTATTTATGTGCATATTTGTCATAATTAAATGTTTTGGATCAAACAACATGTAATATTAGGCAAAGACGACTTGGGGAAATACAAAATGCAGTGTAGTGATGTGTCGGTCGTGAACGAAATGGCCGACTCTTTGACTATATTTAAAAAAACAAACAAACATGAACACAGTGCTGAGCTGCATCTCAAATTAATCTTCCAGCTCTCAGCTGACATGTACCAGAGCCCGATTGATGGATCAGTTGATCATTGGCTTGATATAGGTCTATCATAGTCACATGGCTCTTAATCAGTAGGGTTATATGTTTTGTTTTTATTTGTTAGCTGTATAGGCAGCATTTTTGTGTATGTGATCCCCTTTCCTAAATTAGATTTGCTATATACACATATTTTGCTCTCTTAGTATTTTTAGGACCTGACTAATACTGAAAACTTTAGGGTGATACTGGTAAAAAGGAGTTAAAAATTTAGATACTGATACATTGGTCGATACTCTTTTTACAGATAGTATACAGATTACAGAACTTGGAATGTATACAGAAATTCATGTTTTTGCAATGATCATTCAAAATTGGCAAGATTTGACCAAATTCACCACTCTTTTATACTATGCTAAACAATCAAAGATTAGCTCAAGTCTAGTTGAATGATGTTTTAAAAATGTGTTTTCCTTTAGTGTTAATCACAGTGATGTTATGAAGTAATGTATGAACCTGATGTATGATAATATTTATCTCTACAGAGGAAACATCCATCGAAGATTGAGCAGTACAATATCACTATGGCATCAACATGTCGTCAGCGAAAGACCACAGCCACACCAAACAAGCTCTCAGCAAATACACAAGCCAAGTTACCAGACCTGATGTTGAGAGCTGCAAACAAACATGTTCCACAAGCAACTGTTGACAAGCTTGTCATCAATTTCAGATGTGAGTGTCTACAGCCATTTGCAGTGGTAGAACAGCCATCTTTCAAAGAATTGGTTACCACATTACAACCTCACGCCAAAACCATCTCCAGACCCACTGTCCGTGCCAGAATCTGTGAAGCTGCGGATCACATGAAGATGACTTTGGTTGCAGAATTGGATAAAGTCAAATTTGTTGCTACCACTACTGATTGTTGGTCAGCTCATCAGAAAAGTTACCTTGGAGTCATATGCCATTGGATAGAGGAAGAGTCCCTGGAAAGAAGATCTGCAGCACTAGCGTGCAAAAGATTGAGAGGGTCTCACACATTTTGCATGCTTGCTGGTGCGCTTGATGATATCCATTGCCAATACAAGATTAGAGGCAAAGTTGTAAGAACCACAACTGATAGTCAAGGCCTTCCACATGTTTGGGGCACAAAATGATGCAGATGAAGCTGAAGATGAAGCAGACCCAGAAACTATTGACCTGACTGACCATATTGACTACCATGAGGCAAGTGCAATTCTTGATGAAGACTCTGGTTTGGAGTATCAACTCCCGCTGCAAAATGCCAGGCCATTTGGAACAAAACTGGCCGGTCTCATTTGGCTAATGAAGTGGTAAAGGACAAGTGTGAGCTACAGATCATTCGTCCGAATGCAACACGGTGGAATTCAACCTACCTTGCCATTGAGGGGAAAATACGCATCATTGATGAGAAGGGGGAAGATGCCATAAGGAGCATTTGTGAGGAGTTCAAGGTGAAAATGTGATTAAAATTGGACACCTACCAATATGGTTGCAAATTTTGTGAATTTTCCTTAATGGATGGTTAAAAACATGAGCAGACTCTTAATATTAAATCAGAAGATCCCTATTATAGTTATGGTGGGTTTTGTTGTTGTGTCTTACAGGTTGAGTCCTGCAGAAGTTGCATTCCTTAGGGAGTACTGTACCACCATGAAGCCACTGGTGAAAGCTTCAAACATCCTTCAGTCTGAGTCCACTTCCTTTATGGGATGGCTCCTGCCAGTAATCCAACAACTACTGTCCAAACTTAGCAGGCTGGAGACATCAAGCAAGACATGCATGCCACTCATCAGAGCCCTGCAAAATGGCCTTCAAAAGCGTTTTGGATCGATGATGGAGGATCCAGAATTGGCTGCAGCTGCAGTCCTCTTACCCAAGTTCAAGACTTCCTGGACTGACAGAGCAGATGTAATAGAGGCTGGTGAGGATTCATGTGATCCCATTTTTGTGTATTTTTACATTTGAACACATGCTTAAGTGAGTATTTCACCTAATACATTGTAAGTTATTGATGGTCTGTCCAGAATACTAAACAATCCTTTTTGAGAATTTGATTTTAAATTTGTGTTCAGGAATAGTCACTGAAATTTAAATAACAAAATTGTGTTATCTACTTGCAATTACAGCCTTGACATACATCAAACAACATCTTGAAATGACAGAGCATGAGAGTGTGGATCAGCAAAGAGAGTCATCTGATGAAGATGAATTCTTCTCCAGCAGGCATGTGCAGAGGGGGGGGGGCTAGAGGGGCTTGAGCACCCGCCCCTTTCCTGATGGGTGCCCAAAGTGCCCTTTTGTTGAGGCAACTTTAAAAAAAAAATTATTATTATTATTTTTAATGTGTGCGTGGGTGCAGAGTCCTGTCTGTGCCCCTCAACAATAATATTTAACTATTAATCACAGTTTTGCTAAATAAAAGGATCTGGCTTGCATCAGTCACATGATCACATTTAACCAATGATAGCCCTTGACGGCAGAACGCGCTGGTTACGAGCTGGGAACGAGCTCACAAAGAGCACGCGCATTTTTAGCGGTCCGGAGCTGTAGGAGAAACACAAATTAACTCAGAGACACAGACTGATGCGACAAAACCAGTAAGTAGGTGTACAGCGCACACTGTAGTGTATAGCACCCAGGAGTATCAGCTTATTACGTACACGTTGGTAAGCTGTCTTGTTGCAACTGACGAACTGAAACAAACGAGCGTGCTGTGTGTGCAACAGCGCGACAAACAT